AGTCTTGTTACTATGACACATTTTTAATGTCTACTAAGGAAAACAAATCTGTAGTGTTTAATAACTTATTCAACATACTTTTAATGGTGGCAGTTTTCCAAAATGTAAACAAATATAGGCTAAAAAAAAAAAGGAGATGAAGTTGTAGCCTGCAGCATAACTCACTGAATCCACAGCAACATTTTATTTCTTCAACCTCAAAGCATTATGGGAACTGTAGTTCTGAAATTTAGGCTAGATAAAAAATCAGTGGATCACCACAGTAGCCTAGTGGTGTTCATCCTCTGGGGATTGTATTTACAAAATTTCTAATAATAGATATTTCACAGTGGATCAAAGTGTTGGACCAGGGTTCCCACACATCCTGGAAAACATGGACGTTTAGTGACAAGTTTTCCAGTCATGGAAACGCCTGGAAATATATTAAAATGACCAAATATCCTGGAAATAATCTATGTTGTAATTGTATTTTAGCCCGTCACTCAGATCGCCTACATATATTGTTTGAACTGTTGGTAGGAACGCTATGACCTGCAACCCTGAATGCCATTGTTTCTTTGAAATTGAATTTTCCATGCTTGTTATTTCAGATTCATTTGTCCATTCAGGCTGTATTAATTAAGTTGTTTTTTTTTGTACAGTCAAATATGATTAACAAAATCAGACAAAGAGCTAATCAGCTCATGTTGTTAAGAGGATTACACACAGCCTGATGCCAGTCATCTACCATTTAAAATCACATACAGTATTTTATACTGTATGCATACGGCTGCTGACTCATATCTACACTGTGTGGAGTTAATACATATTGTTACTGAGAAACACAGATGGTTTTTTTTTTACGTGATGTCTCCTGTAAATAAATATACACACACTATCCAACAATACAGCTATATTAACACTTTTTACTTAAATCCCGGCAATACTGGCATATTAAATGAGACATTTATCAGTTGCTGGATGTCTCATTTTAGGTTTTAATTACTCTCTGTCTTTTATGTGTAATGTGTATCCATGCTGTAAAGGAATTAATTCACAATACTCTAAGGGGTTTTGCATAAAAGCCTCCAAATGGCGTGCATTTAATTACCCATCTCATTATTCCATGTCGTTTTTGGCTGCAACACAGGATTATTTCCAAGGGAATGTACTTGATTAATCTGCATACATGTCTTCGTGTTTGAGAACAGAGGAGAACAGTTTAGGCTTATGTACAATTTTATTTTCCCATGCATTTCTGTCATGTAAAGAAATATTGTTGTATTGGAAAGCCTCGTTGTAAATTTTGTCTTTATGTATGGGCCACCACACTGAAGGAATTTACACTTCCTCCCTTCTTACAATTTTCCAAATGAAAATTCTTTCAGGAGAACACTCATCTGTTCATGTTCTTGTCAGTCTGGGTTGTTATTTCATCAATATTACATGAGCACAAATTTCATGAAAACTCGCTGTACTTACAAACAGAACTTGCATTAGATTAAAAACGTTGTCAGATCTTATGATGCATACCATGTCTGATTTTCAAATGACCCCAGTCCGAATTCTTCACACATTTCTGTTGTGTCTTCCAGCTGTTACGAGAACTCAAACACCCAAATGTGATCGCCCTGCAGAAAGTGTTCCTGTCCCACAGTGACAGAAAGGTTTGGCTCCTCTTCGACTACGCCGAACACGACCTTTGGGTGAGTCTTTTTGATCCACCGCTACATGTAACAGTACATGTGTGTACATGATGTCCTGTGTGACAGAAAACCTTTATCTCCTTCACTAACTTGCACAGAAAGGTCTTGGAAATGCTATTCTCTTCTACAAATGGCCCCATTTGTCATCCTGATGGTGATGATTTTGCACCCTGATATACTGTAAACCAATAAGGTTGCACAATGAAATTACAAATCACATAAATCCCTGCATTATAGCTTTACCTAATATTCCAGACACCACCAAGTTGTGGAGAAGTTGTTTTCTTGTAAACCATGTAGCTACACTGTCAGAACTGGCGAGACATGCTCCACTCCACAAGCACAACTGAGGTGAAACCTTTCTCTGCCTCGCAGCACATCATCAAGTTCCACCGCGCCTCTAAGGCCAACAAGAAGCCCATGCAGCTGCCCCGAGGGATGGTGAAGTCTCTCCTGTATCAGATTCTGGATGGGATCCATTACCTCCATGCCAACTGGGTGCTCCACAGGGATCTGGTGAGCAGCTATATTAGCTTCACTGCTCCAGTTTCCCTTTGCAGACACACACCAGCTCCAGCACACACACACACACTTCATCTGGGAGCCGTTTCCAAAAGCAACACCGTGTACGTCACAGAAACACTGTTACCCAGGAGGGGCAGCAGTTTCCTTGTAGCCGGCACAACTGGATATAAATGGAGACTTGGGAATAAAAATAACTAATAATACAACAACCAGGCCACAAAAGGGAAAAAAATTGGGTTCAGATCAATTTTTTTTTGTTTTTGTGAGTTTTATAAGGTAGAATTGTCTAGATTAGTGTAGGGGCCTTTTATATAAAGTCTGGGTCTCAATAGTTAATTTAACATGTAATGTGTGTATTACGTACAAATAAAGAGCTCCCTTCAGTAACCTTTAATCTGTAACATAGAGCTGCTGTAAGTCGAGGAAAATTAATTGCCAACTATATTGATAATCGATTGTCGATAAATTGTCATTTTTCAAGCAGAAATGTGAAACATTTGCTTCTTCCAGCTTCTTAAATGTGAGCTTTTCTTTGTCATTTCAAATTCATAATGATGAAGAAGTCACTTTGGGCTCTGGGAAATTGTGATGAGCATTTTTCACATTTTAAAGACTGAGATTAATCGATAATGAAAATAATTGTCTGTTGCAGCGATATTGTGACACTACAGACTCTACAACAATGTTTGCTTATATCCATGACTGTTAGCTTTACCACTGCTTTCACAAGTTAGGTCACAAGTTAGCTAGGTTGCTAATTTAGTGCAAAGATGTTCATATCTTCTTTGCCTAATTTTATTTTTTGTATGTTTACGTTCTTGCACTCAGGAGTGTACTAAAGATTTTCACTGCCATGGTAATATTAGCTTGTTGTCTATAAATCTGTTGGTCAATAAAGCATAAAAAATGATAGAATAGAATTGAGCGCAAAGCAGCTCAGCTTTTTTCTAGCATAAGCTGCTACTTATGCTAACGTTAGCTTCTTTTAGTTTGGATGCAAATCAGGTGTTTATATGAAAAAAGTGATGGTAAGCCAAAGAAATAAATAATTAGCCCACAAACAGAATTATTTTTTCCATCAGAAACTTCTCTTGATATCTCACAATCTGACACTAGCTGTAAACCTAACCTAACCTAAGAAAGGCATTGTTCTGTTAAGATACATGTGGTCTGTCTCTGCCACACTGATCCATTCCAACAAGCAGAGTTGTGTTATATCTGTGGAGGTGTTGTTATGTCTCGGTATGCTGTGTTATTATGAGTGTGATTGTCTGGAGCAGTTTGGTTGTGACGCCTGAGGAGCAGAACGTCCTGCACTCTGAATGTTGTCTGACTCTCGTCCACCCTTTAACCTGGCTGCAACACGCTGCTGGTTCCTGTGAGATCCTCTCCACCTCTGTTTTCCCACAGTGCTTTGGTTAGAGGGAGATCTCGCTCTCTGTAGCTGGGAGTCAGACTGGAGCCAGAACACAGGGCTTCTCATTGTGTGTCTTAAAATCTCTGTTAAGATGGCAGAATGACAGGAATTAAATCAAAATGGTTGCATGTTCACAGGAAAAATGTGTCCATTTTGCAACTTTAGCACAGTCTTGGGTGGCTAAGCTAGTCAAAGGGTTAGCTTACTGATAATTAACTCTTATCTTGTCAGTAATGTCAATAATAACATTTTGTCATGTTGTTTCTAATGTCTTTTTTATACTTTGAATGTTGTGGCAAAGGCATCATGTAAGTTGAAAAAATGTAGAAATGTAGCATTTGGTTGTTCTGCTCCTCCATTTACTGTCAATATCATCCAACTGCAGCCACAAATGGGCATTCTCGTGCTGGTGGGGGTTCCCGTTTTCGCTGACTGGAACGCCCCCTTCTTCTTCGCCTTTCTTGCTGAACTGTAACTGTCAACATCCGGTTTAATA